CTGCAGCCCTGGATGCACCAGTGGTGACTGCGGATGGAATCCAACTCCAGGGCCTGGGAGATGGAGATGTGGTGATGCCAGCCATGTGGCTCCTGCCTGGCATGGCCATCCCCTTCCCTGGCCCCAGCAGGTGCCACTTCTCTAAGGTCACTCATCCAGGCAGCCTTCCCTGAATCCCTGTGAGGGTTCCTACCCGCTAGGGCACTTGGGCTTTCCACGACACTATGCCATTGACAACCTGAGTGATATAAAAGTAACATGGGCTCCTGAGTGACTGCAGGACCCAAGCACTGTGCCAGGGACCCCATATATGCCATCTTATCCACTCCACTGTACCATCTAGGGATTGTTTTGGCTCTTGTACCAAGGAGGAAAGCAAAGCTCAGAGAGGTTAAGCAACCTGCCACAGGTCACACTGCCAGGATATGACAGAACCACCATTCTAACCTGCTCTTTCTCATTCTGGAGTTTCTGTATTGGAAGTATGATGAAGCTGCAGGCTGCAGGGTTAGAGTGGATGGGTTTAAATCCTGGCTTGTCTACCTACTGGCTACCTGACCTTGTGCAAGTCATCTAATCTTTCTTAAGACTGCTACATCATCTGTAAAACAATAGTTGTTCCCACCTCATGAGGCTGTGGATGAGTAGCAAATGGGTTAGCCCATGCACACAGCATCTCCAGGGGAAGCACACACAGCATGTGGGCTCCCAGCACCCTGTGGAGTATCTGTTTGTTGGCCTGCCTTTCCTTTCCCCAGGCTGTGGTCACCCCTACATCTTGGCAACCACCAAACCTATGGGGCCCAACATAGGTTCTACAACATGGCAGGGGCTAAGAGAGCCTCTGGAAATGCATAGAGAAAGAATCACGGGCCTTGTCCTCAGCAAGCCCCCTCCAGGGCCTGGCCTCACCTCTTGAATGGCGTTAGAGGAAAGCGCTCCTGGCAGGTCCTGCTTGTTGGCGAAGATGAGGAGGGTGGCTCCAGCCAGGCGCTGGGGAGACAAGATGCGGGTGGGTGGAGCTCTGAGGGCAGCCTGGACCCTTGTTAGCTAGCCCAGAGGATCCGGGGTCAGAGAGCAGCCTGAAAGACCCGGGAAAGGCCCATGGGGGTGGAAGAGGCCCAGTGGAGGTGGGCAATGGAAACAGCCATTGAGGCCAGCCCCACTGTGGGTACTGCCCACTTCTGTGCTTCAGTTTCCCCTTCTATAAGCACAGAAGGTGCTGGACAAGGTGATCTGAGGCCTCTGGGTTTCTAGACAGCTCAAGTCTGATGGGCACCACTTTTCTGTAGCCCTTTCATGGGCTCCTCTACAGCCTTAGTGCCTCTGCTCCTAATGACACCCACACACGCAGGACAGGAGGATGCAGCCCTCCAGGACTCCACCCGCTGAGCTTCCACCCACCAGGCCTGGCTTAGCACTGCACACTCGGGGAGGAACTCCCCGGGTGACTACATGTCCCTGTGTGCCCAGGACAGACCACTGGTGCACACAGGCCCTGGGTAGTTACAGCTCCTGCCTCATCTCTCAAGGAAATTCAATGCAGTAAAGGGAACCAAATCCTAGAACAGACAAATACACGAGTGAAAAAAAACTGGTGAAATCCATGTAAGGATTTGTAGTTAAGATAATAGCAACATGCCAGTGTTGATGTCTTCTTTTTGACAGGTACCCCGATGTTAACATCAGCCAAGTAGAGTAAGGGGTATCTCTGTACTTTTCTGTAGATCTCAAATTTAAAGTGTTTCGATCCACACAACAAATTGCAAAGTCAGCTTAATTATAACTCCCATATTAGGGATGTGGAAATGGAGACTCAGAGTGGTTAAGTGCCTTTGTGCGGTCACACAGCAGAGTCAGGGCTTTACACACTAGTTTTAAGGTAGCTCCCCAAAGTGCCCTACTGTCACTGTTGTCAATTCCCCTTCCCCTAGTTTCTCTTTTTTTTTTTTTTTTTTTTTTTTTCTTGCTAGCAGGGATTGAACCCAGGACCACTGAACTACATTGGGTTTTTTGGGGGGGTTTGAGACAGGGTCTTAAACTATGTAGTCCAGGTTGGCCCTGAATTCACATGACCCTCCATTCTCAGCCTCCTGAGTACTGGTATTCCAGGCTTTAGGCATGTGTTACCAGTCCTGGCTGGATCCTGCCTTGGCCTACAACTTACAGAGGTACTCCTGCCTCAGGCTCCAATTACAGGCAAGGAAACAAGCCTATCTTTTGGTGGCCATCTGAGCAGGGTGACAGATTAGCCAAGTGTGGGGCTGGAGTGCTGGGTAAAGCCCCCCTCCCTGCCCCCCACCAAGCCCTGCCCTGCCACGCACCTCCTCCACAAGCAGGCCCTGCAACTCCCTTGCACAGTCTTGCAGGCGCTGCCGGTCAGCACTGTCCACCACCCAGATGAGGCCATCAGTGCTCTCAAAGTAGTTCCGCCAGTAGGAGCGCAGTGACTTCTGGCCACCCACGTCCCAGACGTTCAATTTGAACCTGGGCAGGGCAGGAGGCAGGGTCAGCAGGTCTCTCTCCCACACTGCCTATCCCACTCTGGCAGCTTGGGGACCCCAGCTCACCCTCGGTGCTCCAGGGTCTTGATGTTGAAGCCAAGTGTTGGAGAGATGGTGTCCACATCTTCCCCATTGAACTTCTTGAGAATTGTGGTTTTGCCAGCATTGTCCAGGCCACTGGAGTCCAAGAGCTAAGGACGAGGCTCTGCACTCTGGTGATTCACTTGGCGGACTAATCATTTCCCACCACATATCAAAGCTGAGCATGTGCATCCCGCTCACCCAACCAAGACCAGTGGGTAGCTCCTGAAACTGGCCACAGATGATTGCCAGCTCTCTCCAGACCATCCCCACCAGCTGACAAAGCCACTATCTCTTCGTGCTCACATGCTGCAACAGAATGCTCTCTGGACCCATCTCCCTTCCATTTAAAGCATCTCTCTTTAAGACAGCTGCTCATACTCACTATACCGTTCAGCTTTCTGCTCTTGCTCCCATCAGACTGTGGCTCTCACTGCTTCCCAAACTTGCTCTTGCCAAGCTGGTCCCTTGGCCAGGTAGCCCCACCACATCACCTGACCAGTGGCTCACTCCCCTCCTCCTCCGGTTCTCCTTAGGCCTCTCTTCTTTGTCTCCACTCCCTGGGTGAGTCTCCTTTAGGGCCTTTGCATCCTGACTTTGCTCTCAACTGTGTCCCTAGGTTTGTACATGTTCTTTTTTTTTTTTTTGGCGGAACCGGGGGTTGAACTCAGACCCTTTTGCTCGCCAGGGAAGCGCTTATTCTACTGAGCCATCTCCCCGGCCTAGGTTTGTACATGATCATCTCTCATCTTTTTACCTAACAGTCACTTTCTTCGTGAGGCCCTCTTTGAACACCCTGAATTACTCTTCTCACCCACCCCACCTATTTTACTTATTTGCTTTATTTTCTCCCTTCCCCCTGCATTACAGTATTTCCACGAAAGTAGGGTTTCCTTGTGTGAGGTTTTACTCCAACACCAGGACAGTGCCTACCTAGCACACAGAGTGCGCTCAATAAGTATTTATTGAATGAGCGGCCCCTCTGGACTTTTCTCCAAGTTCTTTAAAAGACAGACGAGGGGCGGGGGGGTAGGGGGCGGCGGGGAAATGGCTCAGTAGAAAAGGGCAAATGCAAGGGCCTGAGTTCAATCTCCCGTTTCCGCCAAAAAAAAAAAAAAGAAAAAGAAGAGACAGGCAGTGCACAAACATCTCTCCCCCGCCTGGCGGGGGAGGGTTGGTTGGGACGGCTGGACCCAATACAGAGCCGGTAACGGGGTTCGACCCGCTGGGTCCCCCGCCGCGACGACACCGAACGGCCACGCAGCAGCCGTGCAGCCGCAGGAACCCCGACAGGGCCTAGGATCGGCGACGCCCACAAGCTCGCGGGACCAGCTGCGCGGTTCCGACCCAAGGGCGGGGCCAGGCCGACACCTTCGGACAGGAAGAGGGGGTTGGGGCCGGGAGGCCAGGAGTCGACGCTGAGGCCGCACTGAAGTCTGAGTCCCCTGAGCCCGCTGTGTCTCCCCTACGTGTGAGGGACATCGGCCCTGCGCGGCAATCTGAGGCACAAGCCTTTGGCCCTACGAACCGAGACCCACCTCTGGCCCTGTTGGTGGCGCGCCCCCACCCCTGCCCCGGAGAGAGTGGTAGGTCCCACGTGCGTGACGCACTGTGGGCAGTTGGTACCGGCTGCGCATCGCGCCCGACAGGGGGCGCCTGCCCAGCGGGGCCCCTACCCTTGCGGCCTCGGCGACGGGCAGGATACAGCATGAGCAGTCTCAGTTCCCGTTCTTTCTGCTTCATCTTCTTCAGGATGGTCAAAAGGCCCATGGTCCTGTCGCCCCCTCCCAGCCGTCGTTTCCTTTAGTCCCGGGACCTCACTCCCTATTCCTATTGGCCACGATGCCCACCGCCAGCACAACCGATTGGTCACCTGCTCGTTTGGTCCCGCCCCACCGCCACGTGACCGTAAGCGCCCGGCAGAGACACAAGCGGGCGTCCTCTAGCGGTTCTAGGAATCCTGCGCGGTCCACGCGTTAACCCTTTTCCTTCCAAGAGCCGGCCTTGGGCACACAAAGGCAGAGTCCCTGTCCCTTCCTCCCAGCACCCGAGGACTGGGCTGGAAACGCGAACCTGAAGTTCCTGAGTTGCATCTCCGCAGAGTGGAGACTACCTGCCGAGGGGTTCCGACCCAGAGGTATTGGCAAGCCCATCCTAAGCCTGTTCCCCGGACACTTCCCGGAAACTGGGGTTATGTCATGCTCATCTTGGGCTCTGGCATCTTCCTAAATGTACCAGTGACGGAGCAGAAAATGGGCCTCCCGCTCTCCCTGCCTCGCGTAAATTCTCAATCAAGGCCGGTAATGCCCTCTAGAGGCCGTGTGCGTGGGGCGACTGTGTGTGCCGGTGTCAGAACAGAGCCCTTGTCATTTAGAGGATTCTGCGCAATGCGGGGAACAGATCCTGCACAAAGAATTGTACAACGATGCCAAAGCTTAGGAGTTGAGAAGTCTTAAGTCCTCTTGCAAATGAGCCTGTGAGGCCCAGGTAGGGTTTATCACTTGACTGCCATGAACTAGGCGCTCAATAAATGCTTCTTTTTTT